AGAGCTTTTACCACAGAAATATCTTTTAATTAAAAAAAAATTAGCATACTGAAACATTTGCTAATTTCTGTGCATGTAAAGGATCCTAAAATTAACTGTTTTCTTAAAGCTAGACTATGGTTATTTACCAGGCAGGTTTTATTTTATTTTTCTCCAATTAATCGTACCTACTATATTGAATTGAATTTAATTTATTTTCCACTAAGCTGTTGGATACACTGTAAATCAAATCTAAGAAGCTAATTTTTTTAAGTAGCTGCTGTCAGCATCAGAATTAACCCTTGACTTAGGAAAAAAAAAATAAAAATCACAAGCATAAAATCCTATTTAGCATCACGGAGGGGTATTGCTATCTGCCACTTTACTGAGATGCTGCTGTGTTCACTTGTTTTTTGGGATGTGCCTGCGAGCTGAAGTGCTTGTACAAAACAGGGATGTCTGTGCTGCTGAAGACACTTATTTACATTATATATTTATTTCTGGCAATTACTATTTGCCTGTCAGTGTTTCTGGCCATGTTGAGGTTGTCATCAACGCAGAAAAATAGGGAAGCAACGAGTAAGCAATAGTGCCGTAAAAGCCAGCGTGATACGTAGACCTTGACTCTGTTCGTACATTAGTATTACAAATAGGATTTTGCCTTGTCTGCTTTTGTGTCACAGTCTAGTTGCTCAGTGCCCAGGAGTGCCCTGCTGTGCATTCTTCTCCCTCCCCTCTGAGATAGGATGCTGAATGTTACAGCCGACAGCTCATTGTTAGGAGGTATTTAATATTACAAGTTACGCGGTAGTCATCGTCAGTGAAACAGGTTCCATCAGTTTATGCAAGCTAGGAGCAGCCTAGTCTAATGCGAGCATCTTTGTGTGATCTGCTCTGCAGAAGAACAGAGTTATGCCATAGGGAATGCTATGTGGAATCCTGTTTTGTCCCACACTGCTGTTAGGGTGGAGGCTTGTCACTTTGCATTTTAAAAGAAAGTCTTAGAAAAAGAATTACGGAAGCACTCCCTTTTGCAATGGGAGAGAAATGTGAAAGAATGCCATCAGGAAAGACTTGTTGGGATAGCACTACTATCTCGAAATTGGCAGTAAAGCCTGAGGTGAGGAGAATAAGGTGGCATTTGGGTCAATGGCAGGCTTACTGTTATGCACTTCTGGAGAAGCCTGGCAACGCTTCCAAGAGCTGCTCACCTTTCTCTGCTCTGGAAGTGTGATTAAGAAGTCAAGTGAAAATATTTGCGACCATCTCTTTCCTGGCCTTATCCCTTCCTGAAATACCGATTTTCTGATAGTGATTTATTCATTCAGGTAGTCCTTTAATTATTTGGGTGAATGTGGTTAAGCCACCTTTTTGTAATATGCATACAGGCTGCCTCCCCTTTTTGAGCAGATTTTTGAGTTGTTGGGCCCATGTAAACTCCACAGTCTGCCAGGGCCAAATGGAGCATCACTAGGTGAATTTTTAAAGTACTTTTATAGCTCTTCCTGGGCTTCTTGGAGTCCCTTTTAAGGTAAACAGTCTTGCAGAAAGGTGAGTATTGAATCAGCAAAGAGATAATTTTCCATTAAATGTAGTGGAGCTGTAGATGATCATCACTGGGGGCAGGTATGATGCCTGATGGGAAGGAAAAGGAAAGAAATTGGTTACTAAGACTGGTTAGTCCATCTAGGTAGTTAACCTCAAAGGCACACAAATATTATTTGTTGTTATTACAGTTATAAAACTGTAGCTGCTACTTCCATTTTGATGTTGTAATACAACAGATGAATCTAGCCCTAAAGGGACCCATTGTCTGCTTTATTTGCGTTAGTGGTAGTCATTCTATATGTCGTCTTATAGGGTGAGGGCTCAGTAATCCGTTCTGTTACACCATATGCTAATACAGTGCTGATAAGCAAGTGTGAAAAATGAAAGGGAGGAATACATTAATTGTATTTGTGCAATAAGGTATGCTATCAAAGGTAATTATTTCATGACAGTTTTAGTTATAGCAGTTGTTTTATCATGGAATAAAAGATGGCTTTAGGAGCCTTTTATTGGAAAGACAATTGTATCAAATTAGCACCAAATTAGATTTTTGTCTTTATAAAGGTGAGCAAACCCATGAGCAGTTTCTAAATTGGTGTCTTCTACTCTACAAATGAACAAATCCTTTTTGAGGGTTAAAGAAGCTATTATTCTGTCCTCTATGCTGACAGCTTCATTACTGATTGGCCTACTGTTGGTATTAAAAAAATGTTTGGCTCCTTATGATCTTTGTGCATGCAACTATAATATTAATACAAACCACGGAACTGTTCATTAAGAAATGACTTTAAATGAGGTTGATGCTTGTAAATCTGGAGAGATACAGATGTTAAATGCTGCCATTCCTTTTCATATACAGCCGTATGGCTAATAATTTCCAAGTGGCTAAAGCTCTTGTTAGCAAGAGTGCTGGTGTGTTAAGAATGGCCCTATAAATAACTTTAAGAACTGAAGTTGAAGGTGCTTCTTTTAAAGACTATTGTTAACTAAACATTATTGCCAAACAGATGGAAAGCATTCACCAGCCTGATGTTTTTAGGTCTAATTATATTATCTCCAGTCCTGTACGGCTCAGTAGAAGAGGTGTATCCAGAGGCCAATTTATAATCATTTAGACAACACCTGTTTGGGAGATATTGACAGTCAAAGGGCACATTTAAAAAAAAAAAATCACATATGTTCTCCTATTTATTGCCTCAATGTGAACAGTGTCTAGTTACAAACAAACTTGGGAGAAGAAGGAGGAAAGTGACCGTAAACACATAGCCGTTTCTGAACCATTTTTATCTTTGTCACCTCTTGTAAAGTGGCTTTTATTTTTCTCTTGTTCTTTTAGTTTTCTTTATTGTTTGTTTGGCTTTTTTTTTTTTTTTGTTTGTTTGTTTATTTTTTTAAATTTTAATTTTACACTTTTTGGTTAAGCAAAGATAACAAAACCAGTTTTGCAGTTGTTATTTATTCAGCTGGTTTCCACTGTTTCTGGAAGCCCCAGGCTATAGGCCTGAAAAGTTGTTCAACAAACTCAGTGGCCTGTGGACATTTGCCTTCCCTTACCTTGCCCTTGACATGGAAACTGTGTCATTCCTTTGTCAAAAAAATCTCAGTAACACCAACTTCTCTTGATATTTATTTTGCAAGAAGAAATAGAACAGCTTTCTAAATTGGGTGCAACCCTAGTAAAAGAGGAGGTCATTGAGATGGAGAGGTGTCTGTCACCATTTCTTTTGGTGAAATTTGGTGAGAGAAATGATTAGAAAAGACTCCAATTCTCATTCTCTTGCTTGAGACACTCGGATGTGATGGAGACAGATGGAGGGCAGTGTTTTGAATTCAGCCATCCTGAAAAGCAAAGGTTGCTGTGCGCAGCCGCTGCCTGGGGACAGCCAGCACAACCCTGCCCTGAGACCTCCCCGCCCGGCCCGGCCGCCTGGGCCTTTTGCAGGTCTCCACCTCACCTCGCTGTGGGCGCTGCACGGGATGGCTCTCTCCGCGGTTCCCTTGGCGTGGGGAAGGGCAGCATGTCAACTGGGTAGACTTCACCCTTTCAGGGCACGGCTGCATCGCTGCCCCACGCAGCCGGGGGATAAGGGAGACTGTGTGCCGTGTTGTCCTTCTCCTGTCACCTGATGAATCTAATGCCATGTTACTTCTGACATGTCATTCCTCTGCAAGGTGTGTTTTTTGATGTGAGCTGACTTGGAGTTGCTGCATCTTGTCTGTTGAACTCAGCAGTTTGGTAACCCCAGTACTGGCATTTGCAGCCGAAATCTTTTGGTGTAACTATGTGTGAATGTTTATACTGGAAGTTTGCAACGTCTGTTGTAAATAAGCAGTGAGTGCACACTCTTGTTCTTGTTCCTCCAGGAGGTTTCAGCTTGTGCTTGTGCTGCTCATGTAGCTGTCTTGCAGCTGGTGCTTTTCAAGTACATCTCTGTTCTTGGAGTTTGAAAACAATTAATTCCTGATCAGAGGGATTTGAAGATGGAGATGCAGAGGGTTCCAGCTCCCTGAAGATGCAGCTTCCCAAATAAATATACACATATATTTTTGTTTGTTTTGTTTTCAACACATAAATAAATTGAGCTTGCTAGGAGGGTAGCCATTATTTAGTACTTATTTCATTACTGTGCTGTGTTTAAAGTGTTTTCAGCAGAAGTGATGCGCTCCTAACAGAGATGCTCTCTGCAGCTGTAGGTGTTCTCTCTGCAGCGAACCCATCCACTCTTTTCTTCCTAAATAAATCCTCTTTTTTTTTTTTTGTTCTGACCTTAATACTATTTTACAGTAGCACAAAGGGGGCTTCCTTTCAGCCTTTTCTGATGTGGCTTAGGAGTGGTGCAAAACAAAAATTGCAGTGGAGGAATGAGACAGCAGTGACTATACAGTTGATAAAACTTTTTTTTTTTTTTTTTTTTTTTTTTTTTTGTGGCCTGGGCAGGTGTGTGGCCAGCTTTTAGTTTAGCTTCCTGGAAAGCAGGTATATAGCCACCCTGCAAAAAAAAAACCCACAAACCCCACCTCTGGTAACCCACTGGTAGGGAATATGTTTGATGGAAGCCAGATGGGAAAAGTGTTGCAGTAGAAAGGTAGTTAAGTGAAGTGACATGGGAAGGTAATGCTATGTGAAGGTTACTTTTTGTGCTTCATTGTGTTGCTACCATTGCATTTCTATAAATTGGGTTCTGCTTGATTATTGCTGTAATTATAAAGTACTTGTTATTTCTGGTACGAAGTTAGGATTCATTCTTTAACTTAGCTGATTTGGAATCAGGTGACATTAGAGAATTACCAGAGAGATCTATATCCTCAATATTTCTTTCCTAAGACTGGTTATCAAATGTATGCTGCAGGGCTTTAATTTTTTTTTAGTTATTACTTGTAACACTTCCTTTGTAGGAATATTCAACATTTAAGAACTGTGTTTTGTTAACTTATGTGAATCTTAAATATTTCTCTGAACACTTTTTGCTTAGGTTTTGCTTGTAATGGACACTAGAACACAGCAGACTTTTATACTGAAGGTGAGTATAGTCTTTTATTAGTCCTCTAATCAGTTTGGCCTCCTAAATTACACCACCACACAAAGATCAATTTGCATCTAATCGTAAAGATAACTCTATACATATATTGATATGTTAATACATATATCCCTATTATGGGAACTGGAATTCTTTTTGTTGGTATTCAGTTGCTTTCCCTTCCTTTCTCTCTAACATCTCTAGTGCTCAGATGTGCTGGTTTACTCACTTGAGTTGTGACAGGTTACTGAGGCCAACACCTTAGCAGGTGTCAGTAGAGTCACAGTTTCAGTGTGCTGCTTAAAACAACTGTAAAGCCCTGGTGGCTCAGGACATGCACAGGCTGCTGCTGAAGGTGAAAATTCTCCTTAGCCCAAGTACATCCACAACACTTTGTGTTTGAGTTTCACTTAGCTGAAGAATATGATATTGGCTAAAGTGGAATCTGGATCAAATGGACGACTGATCTTACTCAGAATTACTTTCCTATATTTTACATCAGTAGACTGTAAAAACTGAGTTTAACGTTACTAAGCGATTGAATTAATGAGTACTTAATTGGTCAGAATAAAATTTTTCACATTACTCTTTTGTGTTTCAGAAAGTGCTCAGATCAAGCTCCCAATATGCTCCGAGCATCTGTGTTGCTGAGAATTAGTTTAGCATGAGTATTGTTATTGTGGCCATTATTTCAAGCTCCCCTTGACATGAATTCCACTGCTGATGGGAGAAAGGTCTGAAAAACTGTGTCCCAAACACAGAGCTCTAATTTGTAACTTCACGTCAGGTCTGGCTTACAACCCTGACTTAACTTTGTGCATCTGGCCTTTGAAATTAGTTGTCTTAGATATTTGCAGGGTACAGAAAACCTGTTTGTTTCTCAGAAAGGATTATTTGTGAATATTGTATATTAGAACCTCACGTTATCTACTGACAGATAGGGTAACATTGAATTTCCCATTGAAATGCTTATGTTTATCAATATTGTAATAGGTCACACTATTGACATAATTTTTTTTTTTTCTTTCTCTCTCCCCTCCCTTTCTCCCTCCCACATCAATTTTTTCACTTCTGGCAACTTCATCTCTGTGCTACCTCCCAAAAATCATTACCTCTCAAGGAGACTAATCTTTTCCTTTCCTTTTTGTTGTGGTGTTTATTGTCTTTAGTAAAGTACAATGGAAACATGAGGATTACCTTTAAAGCTAAGGCATTCTTTTGTCTTTAGAACTTGAATTGAATTTTTTTAATAGTGTCTTTTGGTCACACACAAAAATAAAATTTTAAAAAAAGGTCACAGGGAAATAACTGAGTGTCATCCTGATGACTTAGTTTGAGAGAGATTCTAATAAAAACATTGACCCATGTAATTGATTTTAATGGCAGCTTTGTGCCATCTTCTGTTCTCTGGAAATGTGCCAGATGCCATCAGCACAGCCTCGGGGGACTGAGGGGCATAGAGCAGCAGATGAGTGGTTTCTCTGAAGCCCAGAGTAACTCGGATAGATTAGTTTGGTTGATAAACACAGAGCACAGCAGGCTCCAAAGGCAACTGAGGGTACAACTGACCTTTTTGTTCTCTGTCAGGGTCTAAGGAAAAGTAGTGAGTACAGCAGGAGCAGAACGACCATCATCCCCCGCTGTGTGCCCAACATGGTGTGTCTGCACAAGTACATCATCTCCGAGGAGTCTGTCTTTCTCGTGTTACAGCATGCAGAAGGTTTGTCTCTAGTTTAAGTATATTGTTGAAGAGTCAAAGGTTTAGGTTTTAATCAATGGTACATTTCATTGTCAAATTAGTCTCTTATACATCTCATTAAAATATTTTTAGTGTGCCTAAGAGATCTCATGTAAGACACCCCACTCCCATCCTCTGTCCCTCCCCTCGTTCTGCCGTGGATCTGATTCCTGTTTCAAATGGCCTCAAATCCTGATGGGTCGCTTGAATTGTAGCAATATTGAAAGCTTCCAACTGTTTATTTTCTATAGGAGAGTGAGTGCTTTGACTCTCAGAGATAAAGTCTTTGGCTACTTTTGTAACTTTAGCTAGTAAGTCTTTTCAGCACCCTATAGTTAAAATGACAAATATTTACACAAGAATTTAATAACCTCTGCTAAAAAGCATGAACATTTGCCTGTTGGTTAATATTGCATAGTTATTCTGATCTGGATTTTTAAGAAAATAGCCAGTGGCATCACACAGGAGTTCAAAGCAGAACCACAGAGTTGTGCCTTCAAACTATTTATAAAATTCCTGTTAAATGTACAGGGAACAGGTGGCACAAAATAATTACGTTTTGATTTTTTCGTCTAACACCTGGATTTAAATATTCCCTAAATGTAATTACCCGTATTTGTTTAGAATGAGTGCAGAATATAAATTTTGGGATTGCTAATAGTTCTCTTTTTTAGGAAATGTTAGTAATTCAGTCAGAATGGATGATGTGAAGGAGCTGAGCTAACTGATGGAGAAGATAATTTTATTACATTGAATATATATATTTTTTTTCCAATAACTTAGATTTTGGCTTTTTCATGAACAATTTGTTACATGAGGCAGTTAAAGTTAACTTTACAACATGAATGACTGTTTCTGCTATGTGTGACTTAATCTTGCCATGAGCAGTGATGCATGAAGAAAAGCCTCACATTACAGTACTGCCTGATGGTGATCTCAAGGGTTTACAGTGCTGCTCTGTACGATGCTACTTTTCTTGAGGTGTGTGTAGTTCAGCAGAATAACTTGGAGACTCAAAATGTACCAGCTTATGTGGAGATTAGTTTGGAGAAATAATATGTAAAAAAACCCAACACCTCAAACAAACCCCCAAAGAAGGAAAAAAAACCCCACCTATAACCCTTGTCAGATACCAATTGCCCTTAAGGCTAGCATAATCAAAGTATTAGAGACAGGATATCGTAATAATTTAAAAAAAATGTTCCTAATATTTCTGCAATTTCCAAAGACCTACAGTTTTGCTCTTCTGTTCAGGAAGAACGTTCCTTTCCAAAACAGATGGAAAACTGGGTGAAGTAGTAGTGGAATTTTGGGGGAAGAGTGGTCAGATGGAGAGAACAAAAATTTTAAGGAAGGCATGATGTGACCGGTTGACAAAGCTGATCTCCTGGAAGTGAAAGTTTTATTGTGCAAGCAGTGAGAAAAATGGAGACATTGCATGATCAGAGCTCTTTCATTTAAGAACAGAAACCTAAGCTTAATGTTTTGGATGGATTCAGTCAGGAATGACTGTCTCCTCTTCATTTCTGACATGGTCACAAATCCAGCAAAATGTGCTTGGCCTGAACATCTTACTCTTACCATCGTTGGCTGTGACATGTTTTGAGTTCTATGGGGAAAGGATTTTTAATTTACTAAGTGCCTTCTAAATCAGGTTTGTGCAACACATAGCCTTGAGCAGCACCCCACGCCATTTGTTTGGTCTGCCAGCAGCGAAGGCAGCCACAGCTCATGTTGCCTTTCTCCCAGCTGTGGGTCAAAGCCATGCAAGTAGGAGATGTGGGAGGGAGATGGGTTATTTTGAGGTGAAGTTGGGGGAGGAGGTGCTGACAAGATACGAGTGCCTTCTACAGGGAAGATCTCTGAAGGGGAACACGGGATAGAGAGTTTGGGAAGAACTGGGGAGTGTTGCAGAGTGGATGGGGGGGTCTTTCCCTGGCGGGTCTCCCCAGGGAGAGCTGCAGGGACCAGAAGGGACTTTGAGGTGGGTGAGGACTGTTGTTGGTAATACATGATACAGGGGTTCACTTGACTTGGACACTTGTGGGTCTACGTTATAAACTGCAGAGCGTTTTTCCTCATTCTCTGGTAAAGCATCAGGTAGTTTGGAAATGGATTCACCTCTGTCCCTGTTTGCAAACCATTAAAAAATGATGATGTTCTGTAAGGACTTTTCCCCAATTATCAGGGAATTAACAAGGTTAATTTCTTTAAGGATAGCCCCTGGTCTCATGAGCTTACTGTACAAAGTAATGAGTAAGTTGCCCAAGAAAGTATATAAAAAGTGTATTGCAGGTGTAGGGCCTGATCCCAAATCCCTAACTGGGGCGATAATTTTGTGTTGCTTCTAGAACTGCACGGCCTGTGCACCCCACACTGTCCCAGGAGATTGATGCTGGAAAGTGATTCAGGAGAAAGGCTTCATTTTCTAGTTCTACATGAATAAATCATGAATAAAAATCGGGCTAAAGTTATACTGTACTATATGCAGGCACTAATCTGGCTCACCCACTGATGATGGTCTTGATCCCATCAATCTTATGTTAGTAGCACTCATGCTTTAAGTTACATGGATAATAATATCAGGATTCCTTATAAATCTATCTTTAAATTTCATCCATCTCAGACCAAATATAAATAGAGAAGGTGCTTGTAGCTAATTTTGGGAAATGGTAAAAATTTCTAGGACAGTACTTTTTAAGTGGTAGTCTCTGAAATTTTATTCCATGACCTTATGAGTACTCTTAACATTCATACTCCAAGTAGTTCTATTCCAGTAGGAAAGAAGATTCTACCAGTCAAATTTATAAGCGGTGGCGATTTATGTTAGGTATACTAGCCACACCATCTGGAAATTCAAAGGTAAAATATTAAGTGGACAATGGATTGAATTATAGCAAATTCGGAGGAGGTTTTAATGTTAGGTGTAGACATTATGTATTTGCTAAACATCTTACTATTTCCTAAACATCTTATTATTTCCTGTTGGTAGTAAATTTTAACTGTATTATTATTAAGTGCAGCACTATTGGGTTTTGTATGGAATTCTGCAAGCTTGACTGCAGACTCTTGCTCAAGATGAAGACTTTTTTTTTTTTTTCTCCTTTTGGTAAATCATGATGCCATTACATTCTTAGAATTGGTGAGTGAGGTCTTGAGTTTTCTTACTGGCTTTTCTCATGGCCACAGTTGGAGGCTTCAAGGGTGTCTCAGAAGCATGAAAGTCCACAAAGTTATCTTGTAGCTTTATTGGGAAGCACTTGGCAAATTCTAGTGTGGTAGAGAGCCAATCTGATGTTAATAAGGCCTCGCTTCTTCTTGGCACTACTAACTCCTGAAATTTTAGAAACAGGTGCTTCAAAAATAGGCTGGGGGGCTTCCATGGGACATCAAAGTTTAAGTGGCTGTTAGAAGCTGTCAAATCTCTTTAAGCATAAACAAGCTGGAGTTCCTATCAATCTGGAGAGCACTCAAGAAACTTCATGCTGAAGAGGCTTGCTGCACGCAGGAATTGATAGACAACAACACGGTAGCATTCTGGCTTGCAAAGCTGGAGATTTGTCTTTAGAAAAGGAGATTGTACTAGCTGTAAATATTTGACAGCAATTGGAAAATGTAGGAAAGGTGATTATGGCCCTTGGCAAGTGACTTTTTCAGGAGGCTGCTTTGAAATAATAGCTTTTGCTCAAAGTGAATCTGGAAGTGGGAGCTTTGCCTAAACTAGCAAACTTTGTAGCAGAGATTCACCAGCAGCAGTGGAAGCAGCCGTGTATCAAAGACTCTGGTGTTTGTAACTGCTGTCATGTTAGAGATTAGGTTGGAGATTAGCTTCCAATTCATGTGTATGCTGCAACCCCACTGTGGCTGCCATTGGGATGCTGTGAAACGTTATTGTTGTATCATGGTAGTGTGTGTCGGGTTCCCTTTTGGCCTAGAAACTGTACAAGCATAATTTTACATAGTTGTATATTAATGTGATGATGTTTACCAGTAGACATGTCATTTGAAAAGGAGAATGGTGATTCTGAGAAAACCGTAAGATTGTTCTTTTTCCATCAGGGAAGAATATTAATTTGAACGAGGTACTTCTGGCCATTAACAAATTCTTATGCAGTGATGCAGAGAGTTGGGCCTGGTTTTGGAGAATAGTTCAAGCAGAAGTCTTCCAGTACTCTGTTTTTCTTCTCTATCCAATCACAATTACTTGGAAGCCTGGATTGTTCACTTGGACTTTCTTAGGGGTTTCCTAAATACAGTGATTGCTCCATTCTTAGCTGCATTCCAGTTGACAGGACTCATGGGCCAAGCTAACAAAAGCCACTGATTTATTTTGGAATATGTCTCCTTAGTCATCCAGTCTTTCAGGGTGTGAAGCTGAAATGGTGTCTGAGCACCGAGTGAGGAAAAATCCAACAGGTCATGAATTTTCCTTGTCAGCTAGAACGAAAACATGTTAAGAGACTAAATTTGCTGGTTTGTTAGGTTTTATTTTATCCTATGATACATATTATATAGTCTCTGTATCTTCTCTTTGATGTTCCTATGTCAAGTGCTATTAATAACAAAGAACTGCAGCAATGTTTGAAAGAATATGAAAATATTGTGGAACTAATGAGGTTCCTGGCCAGCTTCATCACCTGGTAACTTTGTGCTGAAATTTCCTTTTGATTATTTTGGACACTAACCTTTTAGATTCTGCCTCTAGAAGCAGAGGTGTAACCTCTGGAGTACTGGAAATGTGGTTAAGGCAATTCTAATGAGCAATTTTACATTTAATAGAATGCAGAGCTTAGTGATTTTTATGTGCTAATAAAACCAGAAAAAGTGAGCTGGACTGGTTGTAGAGGCGGTTCATGGTAGAAGAAAATAATCTTAATAATTAGTTATGTTAATACTGTACTTCTGAAATTGCATTAAGCACTAATAAACTTTAGCTTAAAACAGTAGCTTTTATAGTTATTTAGTATGTTAGTCTATTTGACAATGACTGAAGCTTACTTGTTTGGATTGATTTCTGTAATTTTAGTTTTTATAGATTCCTGATACTATATTAGCATGGCTTGCTAATGGGTTTTCTTGATCTTACACAACACATGGGGAGAGGGGAAAAGATTATTAGTATGTCATTCATAAAGGCATAATTATATACCCAGATACAAATATCACTCTTGTTTGACCCTGGATTGGACATTTTCAGAAAGGAATAAAATTGTTGTTTTTCACTATAGAACACAATTATTGAATAGCGTTTATTTACGTATTTCCACTTGACCAGGAGGCCAGTCTTGAAATATTTGTATGTAAACATATTTGGACATAATAATTTTTTTTTTATTTATTTACTTGCATTTAACTCTAAATTGGAGTTGCAGTAAGTAGTCATTTCCACTGTGATTTCTAAGTCCAAGTGATTATTAATGAGCAGCTTCTTTTTTTTAAAAGGTAAGATAATTTGTATTTATGTAAATGTAAACATTTACAAATAGAAAATGAGTCATTGTTGGAGTTCTGTTTTCACAGGTGGACAGTGGAGAATTCCCGAATACTATAAGGATAAAAAGATTTTCTTTGTCTTTTGCAAATTTAGGTTTACTGAAAGCGTTTGAAATTGAACGTTTTTAAAAACATAGCCTGAACCTCTTGACTATTCCAGTGATTTTTCTGTGGGGTTTTGAAGGATTGATCTCAACACATCTGTTTTCCTGCCTTAATCCTTCTTGGGTCTCCTTCTTGCTTAAGCTACACTGAGACTTCAAGTAAAGGGCAAAATCTAGTGGAGGCTGCATGAAATCTTGCATGAAGTGTGGTGGAGGGAGAAGAAGACAGGAGTTGTCCTGAGAGCAGCTTGACCTGCCTGTAGGTGAAAAGCTAAGCTATGTAAGGATAATTCTTGCACTTTTCACACTGCTGGACAGCCCAGCCTCTTCTTACCTTAGTATAGGGGTACAAACCATTTAGGCTGGTGAAAGCTTTTCAGGTGTCACATGTAAAAGCACACCTGGTGTCCAGTAATGGCACAGGAAAAAAAAAAGGTGACAATAGCTCACAGAAATGAGCTTGAGCTTTTTTTTTTTTTTTTTGAGCTTTCTGCACCCCTGGGTCAAAGCTCAACCCAGGCCTCTGTTAGAAAGACCTTTTCTTACTGTACTTGCATCTGGGGAAAACTGATGGCACTAATATTTGCTTTAAAGCCATGCCTAGAGGCTGAGGGGCTGCTGTGCCAGGCACTGTCCAAAGCTGCAGAAATGTGGTGTGGGTCTTCATGGTTCATGTTCTGTGAACACCGTTTGAAGCCTGAGGTTTGTGTTTTCAGAAGAAATTTGTGAAGCACAAATAATAAACGCTAGTAATATGAAGACAGACCTATTTAGCATTTGCTTGTACTAATTAATATAATACAGATGGGATGGGGAGACTTTGTGTTTTATTAAATGCAGCAGGGGTGTGGCTGTCAAATGAGATTTTATTGTTTGGTATGAAACAACCCTGAATAATTCCACCCCTAGTTAATAAATGGGGCAAAGTTTTATTTTGCAAGCTCTGTTTACTTAAAGTCATTTAATTGCAATTTTTAAGAAAATTAATTGCTATAAAAATATTGTTCCATCAGAATCTTGGGATAAAAGGAAACTTTAGTGTTGCTTCTTTTGTTGTGGATGAAAGTGTGGAAAAGAGGAGAAAGTTTTTCACACATATAAAAACATGTTCTTGCTCTCTTTCTCATCTCTTTTCTGTTGTTTTCTCTACCTGCCATTCCATAGCAAAAGCATGAGTAAACGTAAAAAATTCTATATTAGAAAAAGAATTATTGGTGATTATGGGATGAGCTACTTTTATTTTTACCAAATGCATTTAAAACCAGTAATTCTGAAGTCCTATTCAAGCTGCAGGGCTCAGAAGGCCCGGCAGTGCCCTGGCTCTGCCTTTGCCCTGATGAACAGTGGTACAACGTCATATTTCAGGCGAGTGGCTTCATTTTAAGTCTGCGTGGACTCCCTGCTGCTCAGAGGGGCAGGGTCCCGCTCGTCAGGCACTTCTGGCGGGACCAAGGCCCTCGGTCTCACCGGTGCCGGGCGGCCGGTGGCTTGTGGCCAGGCCAGCTCCCTGCTTCGCTGGCCCAAGGGCTGCTGCTCTGCTGGGAGCAGCGGACGAGCCGTGGCTGGCTGCTGTTGCATGGCACGCTTGTAGGTACTCCAAGTGCATCTTTGGGTAAGTACTTAAAGTGCTTGTGAAGTACAGTGGTCAGTACAGCAGTTCTTGTTCCCTTCTCTACAAGCGTTGCTTCCGTTTGCTCCTATTCGTTTGCCTGGCATCCTTTCTCATCATCTTCTAGAAAGTGGCAGGGGTCATTCTGACCTACTAAGTCTGTTTGTAGCTTATGGCAGAAACCATGTGGATTAATAGATCTAAATTGTCGTTTTTACCGTCGGACTCAAGCTGTTAGAATTCCCTCTTAATATTTTTAATATACTTAGTTTCACCACAACCAGTGAGATTTTTTTTTTTTCCCCTTCAAAAACAAGTCTTGTCTTAGCCAGGGGGATGGAGGGCAAGAAAACTCCACATTATGTTATTCAAATTCATTTTTAAAGTATCAAGGTTTTTCTGCCTTTGATAAGTTATTTTTGAAATACCTGAGAATATAGAAAACCTGTTCCTAGGCAATGAAAAATACTTTCTTCTTTTATTGTACTTTTTAAAGGAATTTTGCCTGATATGAAGAGTGTTTAAAAATAACTATTAAAGACTGTATTTTGGAAAAATATAAAGCTCTGTTTTATCCAAATAAAAAAAAGAGGAAAGAAAGAGAAAACCAGAACTCCTGCATTTTCAAGAATTTTTGTATAATCTTTTAAATTGAAATGTCTTGGCTTTGCATTTTTCCATAAGTTATCAAAGGTGGCTTTCTAGCTTTAAGCTAATTTCCTTGGCATGTGCAAGAGATGCAGTAACTTCTTGATTTGTTTTGTGCCAATTATGTTTTGTAATTGGTAAGCTTTTTTTTTTATATGTACAATATTTGGAAACATAAGTAGTCCTATTTTGTAATTTTTAATTATAACTATTACTTTTGGAGCTGTAACTTCCTTAGTCTTTGATGTGAAGGTACTGGTTTGCCAATGTAATTTAGACTATTAATAAATCCTTGTGTAATGCAGTAGGTTGTAAAAAACTTCCTTGAGTCCTGAAGTTAAAGGGAGAAATACATCCATATTTATCTAACAAAACATGCTTTTTCTTAGAGAGAAATGGATACTTAAAATATCCTGCTAATATGAGGTAATTCCCTTCCCCTTACCAAATTTGCTAATTGGTAATTTCTAGTCCATCTTCCCTAATGTTGCTCATGAGCTTGAGCTGTGATAGAGGAGTGTCTAGTACCGGTAGAACTGATGATGGGCACTAAACCATTTGATCTTCTCCAGTTTTTGCTTTCTTTTGAGACAGCAGATGGAGAGTAGTCACCACTGTGCAACTTGAGACAGACTCTGAAATGAGACTTTACTGAAGTTTGAAAAAAGAAAAGCTTAATCTCAGATGCAGCTCTTTAAATATTTATATATTAATACAAATTGCTTGAAAAGCAAGTTGTGGTCCCTGTAATTATTTCCTTCTGAGGTAGCAGATCCATCTTGCTTTACAGACATAAGGAGGTAACATATTATGACAATGAGGGTATTTGCCTGTTTCAACTCATTCTGTTTTGAGTGAAACTAAGAGATTCCCCCCTCCCCTCTTTTCTTGCAGGAGGAAAACTATGGTCTTACGTCAGTAAGTTTTTAAACAGAAGTCCTGAAGAGAGCTTTGAAATTCCTGAACCCAGAACATCCAGTTCAACTAAAATTTACCTGGAGCAGCCAACACCAAGTCCTAAAGAAATTGGTAGCAGCACTGATTCCAGAGAAAGCTACAGGGAGAGCACGCTGAAGGTGGTTCCGCTGAAGAGCAGCCTAACGCCAAGTTCTCAGGATGACAGCAGCAACCAGGAAGATGGCCAAGAGAGTTCAAAGTGGCTGGACTCAGGATCCAGCTCAGAAGAAGAGTGCACTACTAGTTATTTGACATTATGCAATGAATACGGGCAAGAAAAAATTGATTCTGGCTCTCTAAATGAGGAGCCAGTGGTTAAAGTGGAGAGCGAAGGTCTGAATACCAAAGAAAGAAGTTGCTTACAGAAATGCAGTGTCATTGACAGTGATAGCTTCACCTCTCAGGTTGCATCTCAGGAACAAAAGCTTTTCATTGACGATGCTGAGTCAGAAATAGCTAGCCCTACTAGGATATTGGACTCATTAACTAAATCAAAGAACAGCCCCATGGAACTCTTCAGGATAGACAGCAAAGATAGCACTAGTGAGCTCCTGGGGCTTGATTTTGGTGAAAAATTATATAACCTGAAATCTGAACCTTTGAAGCCATTGTTTTCTGTCCCAGATCATGACAGAAGCTTGGATGCCCTAGAGAGCAAAATGGGTGTGAGAGCTCATGATACCATAAGCAGAGGTTCAAACGACTCTGTGCCAGTTATCTCCTTTAAGGATGCTGCTTTTGATGATGTAAATAGTGTTGACGAAGGAAGGCCTGATCTCCTAATAAACTTACCTGGTATGTCTGATGAAATGGAAGAGGCAGCAGTGTCAAGGCCAGCAAAGTTTACAAAAACTGATAGGGACATGTTGGAAGTAAAGTTATTAGAAACACCTGATGTCTTACAGTTAAATAATTCTGCAGAGCCATGCAAAGCATTTGATCAAGAGCCAAATCATGTGGCACCAGAAATGAGTGATCCTTCTTGCGAGGAAGCAAATGGACAAAGCGGTGTCACTCAGGGAGCTCTTGGGACCCTCTTTACATCTGACCGAGAGGTAGGTAGTTCAGAAGACGGGGCTCTGTCTCAAGGGCTTGGAGCCTGCTCCTTAAACGTGACAAGCAAAGAAGAAAGTTTGTTTGTTTCCAACCCGCTCTCAGGTGCTCAAGATATTAACTTGGATGGAGACATGTTAATAAACGAAGCAGTATTGCTGTTTTCCGATCAAGCTGAAGATTTTGGGAAAGAGGAAACAGACTCAGCTTTGTTACCAGCACCTGAATGTAAAAAGACAGCACCAAAACGAGAAGACAGAATAGCAGTAGCAGGGGAGAAGGAAATACATCAAATTTTTCAGGACCTCGACGAAAGATTAGCGATAACCTCCAGGTTTTATATCCCAGAGGATTGCATTCAAAGATGGGCAGCTGAAATGGTTGTAGCCCTTGATGCTTTACATAGAGAAGGAATTGTGTGCCGCGATTTGAACCCAAACAACATCTTATTGAATGATAGAGGTCAGGAACTTTTGCAAATGCATTTCTTTTTATTCGCTGTTGCTTCCAATTAACTGAGTAGGCGTTTTATCTTGTAATTAGTATCTTCATTTCCTGTCTAGAGCTTCATTATCAGTGCAGCAAATTCACCCCCAGTAATAGCTTCTAGTACTTAATGATGCCATTATTCTTAATGATACTGTTTTTAGCTACAAAAGGAGTAATTACAGTTCACTTCTGCAGAAAATGGAAGGGAAAAATGTTTTGATTTCTCCTGTCGTTTTGTTTTTAGGACACATTCAGCTAACGTATTTTAGCAGGTGGAGGGAGGTTGAAGATTCCTGTGACAACGATGCCATAGAGAGAATGTACTGTGCCCCAGGTTAGAGCAATCACCTACAATGTTTCACTTGGAAAGTAGATTAGCAGCTTTCATTTTCTCATGGAACCTTTACAGTATAGAGCTCGAGATCATGCAACATCTGAATTTTCTTTGCTTTTTCTGAATGTCTTAAAAAGCTAGAGGGCTCATAACTGCTTTATTGTTGAAGTGTGGTGGTGGTTGTTAGATCATTTCCATAAAGTGTAATTGTATTGAATGTCTTGTTTAAGTAAATTTAAGTAACATTTTGTTTTCTTGCAGTTATTTGCTATATGCGAGTATATCTTGATAACTGAAAAGAGCAAATAAGGCAAAGGGCAGGCTAAAAAGATGACACTAAGAGCCTTAAAAATACAAAAATTTATACATGCAAAGAACAGTGGGGAAAAAAAAAAACATAGCAGTTTGAAAAATACAACCTTAATAGGCTCAGAGATGCCTCTGACATTTTTGATGAGCTGCAGTTGGCTTTGAAATAGTTTAGAGAGCTCTTTTCTTAGAACTGCTCTCATCAGTTATGAGGGTGATAAAATCAGTATTTCTTGGGTTTTTATAGCAAGGGTGGCACTGGAAACCAAGCCCCCCCTCTTTTGCCTTTTCCAGATTTATTTTCTATTAATATAGGGTCAAATGGTAGTGACAGCCAAAAATCAGGTGTTTTACTTGTAAGTTCATATTTTTAAAATTTCATAGCTAGCTTAAAACCCCCTACTTTTAGAGTTGAAATGACTACTGGGAAGCTATTCAGATTTTCAGTTTCTCTTTTTTTATTCTGAATTTGAAATACCAACATACTCTTTTTGCTGAGCACATGGTCTGGCTAAGCATTGAAACTTGGCCTGCAGGGAGTGCTCAAACTCAGAGTCTGGAAATGTGCTCAGAAAAAATTAGAATAAGAGTTACCATCAATGGAAGTCCTGAACTTAGTTTGGCATCAGGTGTTTATTCTGTGACTTAGTCCCACAGCTGAAATACAGTAAGGAACTGCTCTCTGTGAATAAAGGTCATAGGATCTCAACAAAAATTTGAATGCCAGCCTCTTGAGATAGATAGTAAATAAATAGTGAATAAAATCTTTTCTATCCAGGTACGAGTCAAAAGGGCAGATATTACAGAAAAGAATTCTTTTTACCAATCAAATCAAACCCAACACCTTAATTCTACCCTCATGAAAATTGGGGAATCCCAGAAATTCTTGTGATTGTTGCATAGAAACATGTCTCGTTGCCAGCGTGCATGACATCCTGTTAGAAAGAGGCATTTTCCTGCCTCCCTAACCCAGTCTTGTACAAAGCACTCTGTAGTTGAGTAGCAGCAAAGATGGAAGGTGCAGCCTTTTCCCACCCTGTCATCATTAATGAGCTGTGAAAGTCAAAGCTTAATTTTTCTGTATTTTAATGAGGATCCAAAGAGGCTTTTTTTGCCCCCTAAGCCCCAACCAGCCAACTCCTGCAGTAATTAAGTGTTTAGGGAACAGTTGAAATAATATTTAGAAGTCCCCAAATGCAAGAATAAAGTTTTCCACACCATCATTATTTCCACCTCACAGCACAGGTGTGGTGGCCATCCGGGCTCTTCTTGGTTAAGTTGCCCTCTCCTCTCCACCCTCTCTGCCCTACCCCAAGCTGCAGTTTGCTTTGTGTGTCTGTAACCGATGAGCTACACGATGAAGATTTGCAAATGCAAATACTGGATATATGCAAGAGGGCTGAACTGATACTGCTCTGTGTTTCTTACCTTTCATATTTATTGATCTTAATGTTATCTCTGCAAAGTGTACTCTTATCTTAGTGTAAGTGCTTTGTGCTAATCCATGCATAGGAGAGTAATACTTGGTATAACATAGCAGTGCAAAATATATTTTGGAGCTGAGTGCCATTCCATTCTAAGCAATGATTTAATACTTGTACCTTCAATAATGGTGTGTAGTTGAGTCCAAAGCAGCTTTCTTTGGTCTACTGCTGCTGGTAAATCTTACTCTTGAGCTTTTGATCAGTATTAAAAGAATAATAATGTTAGTGGGCTTTCTTTAGGCTCCAATGTTGCAGGAAAAGTACACCTTATTTGGATGATTGCTTTTCTTTTTGAGGAGCATACCATGTCCCTGGAACCCGTGTCTCCCTAGTATCATGGTAGCATTGCTCCTCAAGCTGCTTCTCAGAATAAGGATTTTGAAATTATACACCTGCTTCAGTTCAATACACTAAGAGAAACTGATAAGTTCTGGGAGTTTTATTATTTTTAAGTTGGTTTTGATCATAATGTTTCTCACAGCTTGCTTTTTTCCTGCTGAAGGAAAGGCTGCAGGTTTGTAGAGATGAACAACTGATCTTCACAAAATTTCATCATGTCTTATGATTTCTTATCATAATACAACACAGTGACTAAATAGAGTGACTCAACATGAATCTTAATCTTCTTGTGAATTTTCCTGGTGTTTCTAGTATTGTGTGCTGTTGCCCAACATCTGGGTGCTCAGCCTTCCCTCTACTTTTCTCATCTGACTAAACGATGCAGTGAAACTCAGCTTGTAAAATTTTGTCTCCATGTGTTTAGCTTGGTGTGTGCTTTCATCAGAGTTTGGGATAGAATAGGACTTGGGTATGATAAGTTGTATGTTACATAATTTTAACCTTTTGTTATTTAAATGCACTTGTTAAAAGTATATAAGAAAGGGAAGATATCTTTGTCAAAACAGACTTAGTGTTTGGTGTTGGAGACTGAGAACAGATGATGAGTCTTGGGATGTAGTTCTTCTGCATTGATTTTTGAGGAGCAAATTTTGGAGGCAGAAGAGAGGATGAATGTGGAATTTAAACAGATTGCAGAATATCTTCAATCTAAAATAGGTAGGAAATAGTATTGTAGAGTTATGTGAAAGATGTAGAAGTGTGTTTGAAACAATTTTATCTTCTTAACTGATAAGGTTTCAGGTGTTATCTTTTTACAACAGAAATTATAAAGTGCTTAGCAGTGAAGTGTCTGAGGACATATTTAAATTTTAAGTTGCTTTATTGGTTGAAGGAAAACATGGAGTCTAAATTCTACAGTTTAGATATCAGAATCTAATTCCTGGAGGGGCTAGGGTTAAAAATGTATTAATGTTGAAGCTTTTCAGACCAGTGAGAGAATAGAGGTCCAACTATGTGGAGCTTGCTTGCAGGATCTAGGATTTTGTATTTGACGCTTTCAGTACCCCGGGTTGTAACCTTGTATTAAAGCAAAGCAAGGTAGTATTGGTACAGAAGCAGTGATCAGATCCTTGCCATGGTGAATAGCAAGGACTTGCTCAGCTCTTGTTATCCTATGAAAAGTGGAGAGGCAATATGACTGCATATGTAGAAAAGAGATTATGCAGTGTGTATATATATATAAAATATTAGAGCAAATGCAAACATTATAAATGGAGAAGTGTCAAAAAGATGAGGTAAGAGATAGTTTAAAAAGCTTCATACCATTCCCTGCTGGCAATATAATTAATTTTGTATGAAATAGCAATTGTCATTTTCTATCGTGTGTAAATTAAAAGCAGGGCTAAATCTGTTGTAAGAAGTGGCACTTCTCCACTATTGACAGCAGGTGGCATTGTACCATTAATGGATTTTGCTGTTGCACTTGCTGGCTCTAATTTGCCTAACTTCGCATAAGAACTGGAGACGGAAGATGCAGTTTATTTGTAGTGATTTCTATATCAAGAATTGTACTCGGAAGCTCAAGAGTCATGGTGTGTTGTAGTGCTGTTGAATCTGTTGGTAAAGCTGGATAACTCTCTTTACTCCTGCGTAGTTCTACTTGATAAAAAAAAAAAAAAAAAAGTTCGTGCTGAACCAACTACTGCAACCACAAAGCTATCTGTAGATGCTTAAAAGTAGTGCCTGTGCTACACTTTGATTAATGGCCAAACTAAATCTTTGCTGTTCACCTATGATAAGTCAAATATTGTTTCTCTAACCCACAAGGGAAATGATGGATTATAAATCATCCCCTATAAACTCAACACCACTTCAAGTAAAACTGTGGGGGTTTTGGCCAAGAATAATCTATTTGCTTTTAAAGAAGACATTAAGCACTTGTAACTGAGAACTTCTGCTGCATTAGAACAGTTAAGGTGACTAATGTGAGGTTTATGTGGGGTTTTTCCTTTAACTTTCCTCTTCTTTACAGTAATTTTGTTTTCTGAATGTTTTAAAGTATGCTAATCAGCTGATGTCTGAATACAAGGTTATTAGCAGATCAGATGAGAATGATTCACTTCTGTTTAAACAGCCCTTTGCTCTCCATGCCCCCTGAGAACTCTTATCACATATTTGTCCAAAAAACCCCACAAAAACTAACAAAAAAATCCCTCGCATTATCCACCTGCCTGGTGGCTGATAGTATCAGCCATGTATCTCTTCATCTCTTGGTTAATGTGCCTTGGTATTCAGAAGGGGGGAAAATTCCAGTAACATTCAATTTACACGGACAGAAACTTGAGCAAATGCCAGCCTAGCAGGGGGGCCATTATTCTGCTCTATAAATAAGTTTAAAAAAGAAACAAACACACACACAAACCTGTGAATCAACATGTTTTGGTCTAATTGAGAGAAAAGCAAGATAGATGAATTTTGAAATGCAAATGATCACCTTCTGTTATTTAAGTATTGGTTTTGTCAACTTTGTGATCTTAAATATAAAGAGTTGTTACCTTTTAAATGGAGTAATAATTATATTCCATTCTCAGCAGTCATGATTTTTAAAATCAAATTGGTGACTTTAAAAAAAGAAAACAAAAAAAGCCCCTTCATAGTATGCTTAATACCTGTGAGAAAGACAAAATTGTCTAGTCAAGACCGTCTTGAACTAAAACAGATTAAGTTGAGGATTTAATCGTAAAGAGAAATCTTTTAGGTACTTTTTCAGTCTAACCTGTGAAGTGTCATGCTGGTCTAACATCTTGTGTAAATACAGTGTGTGAATGAAATGTTTTATTTACACTCTCTGAGTTTTTGTTCCAGCAG